AATTAACCTCCTTGTGGTTCGACCCCGGTCTTGCCGGGTTATTTATTACTTCGACACTCCTGCACTTGGGAGAAGACATCAACCTTTTAGTCGTGTCACCATCCTTTTAACAAATTTTAATGTCACACCTAACTTTCTCATTGTTTAATCCACTCTTTAATATTCACTTAAACAATTTTCATTGGATTTTTTTAAAATATTTTTATTTTAGACTAGGGGTTTACAAAAACAAATGAAATACCATTAAAAGAAAAAAAATAAACAAATTGTTGAAAGGTATTTTTATCTTTTCGTGATGGTTTTTTTTCTTTATTATTGTTTTAGCTAAGGGGAAATTTTATATTTGATCAAATATAAAAAAAATAATAAAAAAATTAAAATTCATAGTAAAATGACAAAAATACCCTTAAAAGCAAAAAATAGAGTCAATGGGCTTCTTATCTTTTCACAATGGTGTTTTTGTAATTATAAAGTTAGCTTAGGGGCACTTTGCTATTTGGCTATCTACTTTTTTTTTTTTTTTTTTTTTTGTCTTGGCCCTTATGTAAAATTTTGATTGGTTTTTGATTTTATCCATCAATTAATATTATTGGTATTATGTTTTTTTAATTTAGTCCTCATTGTTTGATTTCCAATTTCTTTCTTGGTCTTTTTGTAAAAATTATTTTTCTTTTCAATATCACTATTTAATCAAATATAAAATTTATTTTGTATTTTACTTTTGATTCTTATTTTTTTAATTGCTATTTTTTAATATTTTTATATACTTGATTTTTTAAAAAAATTTATCTTTCAATATTTGATTGATTAAGAATTAAGTTTCATAATTTATTTAGATTAGGTGCTTTGGATTTAATGTTCTCGGTCATGAATTTAAAAAATTAATATGTTTTTCTTATAAAAAAAACTTTATAATTCTCAATTTTTTTTATCAAATTATTTCAATTTCATGATTTTAAGTATAAATTTAATAAAGTATCTTAAGTTAGCTCAAATTTAATTAAGTTAACTACAAGCTTATTATAAGTTTTTTTTTACACTTTTTTTAGTCATTTCAGTATTTAATTATTAGTTTTTATATAGAAAAAATAGTTGAGCCCGTGGCAAAGCATCAACCAAGACTGAATGTTCTAAATACTAAATTTCTAGTTTGTTTGATTTCTCAATGGCCCCAACAGACACGCTGTAATCAGACAACCTCATCCGGACAAGCCAAATCAAGAACTTTCTCCAGTATCAAACCGACACGTGGAGGAGCTCCATTTTAAGGACGAGAACTGTTTTCTGCCACGTGTGGAAACATCTGGAAATGACAAATTGATGCCCCATAAAATTTCCTTACATGAAAGGACCGCTGTCCCATTTTTACCCCCCACCGCAGCGCGTAACCACACTTACAACCCTACCTCCAACAACACTAACGCAATAACCGAGACGGTGGCGCGTGAATACACTCTCCAAACTTAGAACCTACGCTCGTAATCAATGATGTGACAAAAAAGTAATAACCAAGAAGCTTTGAAAGGTAATAAATGAATTTACTTTATATATATATATATATATATATTAATTCATCTTCAAGAAAATTGTAAAGAAATTATTTTTTTTCAATATAATTTATAAATATAAATATATAAATGCGAAAGACATACATAATGACGATTAGGAGATGCTTAATTAGTAGAAAGTCAAGTAGAGAACTCCATTGCCGTTAATACTGAAAAATAAAACAGTAAAATACACAGAGGTTGCACGTAACTAGAAAGAACAGCTAACCCTAAGCTGCATTTCTTTTCTATATATATATATATATATATATATATATATATATCACAGAAAAGAAGAAGACAACCGAAGCACTTCTTTAAACTTATACCTTTCTCTTTCTACAAACTTTTGTTGTTCTCTCTATTATTGGTGGGTCTTTCTTTCTCTCTAGGGTTTCTTTAAAATATCTTACTTTCTCTTCGTTTTTCACATATTTGGTTACAGTTTGGGTTCTGATTCCTAAAAGTGTAGATCACCTTCTTCTTGCTCTTGAGAGAAGAACAAGAAACGAAAAAAAAAAAAACAAAAGAAAAGGAAAGATAAAGGAAATAAAGACTAATACAGAAGTAAATATATCATTAACTTATATGGTTAGATTTATGTATCAATTATAACGAAAGATGGTATTTATTTGGTTTTTTTGGCTTGTGATTATAGTTAAGGACTATGGGGAGAGGTAGAGTGGAGCTGAAGAGGATAGAGAACAAGATAAACAGGCAGGTGACGTTTGCGAAGAGAAGAAATGGGTTGTTGAAGAAAGCTTATGAGTTATCTGTGCTCTGTGATGCTGAGGTTGCTCTCATCATCTTCTCTAACCGTGGCAAGCTCTACGAGTTTTGTAGCACATCTAAGTATGACCCTTTTTTTTTTTTTTTTTTTTTTTTTTTTTTTTTTCTTATCGCAATCTTTTAAGCCATATTTTTTAAGAAAATAATAATCTTAGGTTGGATCCATTTATCGTCTATCTTTATTTGTTCATGGACTTGATATTTTGTGTGATTCTTGTCTCAAAAAGCAAGCTTATTTGAATCTCTTTCTATCTAACAATTTTTCAGAGTTTATTTTTTTTCTGAAACGATCACTTTTCAAGTTTGATGGTAATCAAGGTTAACAATTCGGTGAAGTATAAAAATTTTTATTGTTTTGTTTTGTTGTGATCATTGTGAAGCTCATATCTATTAGTTTTTTGTTTGATCTTCTCGTTATGATTCTTGCTTCATGGGATCTGAATTAAATTTGAAGTCTTTCTGTTGTTCATGCTTTGGTGAGCTATAGTACCTAATTGATCAAGCATTTATATTAAGGTGATCAATTCAATAGTAGCTCAAGATTCCTCTTTTTCTCTCAAGAAATTTCAAATTCTTCGACAAAAAAAAAATACCATCGCTTCTTCTGTTTTCTTTTCTAATTTATCTTTCCCCTAGGTTGAAAAAACAACAAAAGAAACTGATATATCCAGCGGCCGGTAGCTGGTAGCTCTTCAAATTTTGATTTTAAATTGGTTTTCCCTGTGTAAAATGTTTGGTTTGAAGAGTGCTAATAATTAAATGAGGTTGAGTTGATTATCCATGAAACCTGTTCTTACCCATAAGACAATTTGGGTTAGTTAGAGAAAACTTTGGAGTGTGAAAAGGCTGAGAATTACTTGGCCATAATAAGTGTTATCTGCTAGGTATAGAAAGTACTTCTCCCTTGTTACATGGTTCTTCCAGAAATCCCTGTAGGCACCTGATTCAATAATGAAAGTGTGGTTATTAACTAAACTACAATAAATGTACGCTTTCTTTTAGAAATTCTAGTAGCATAAGATTTTGGATATTTTACACTTTTATTGGGATTTGTTCACTTGATTACGAGTTTTTTTTTTTAAGAAAAAAAATGAAAAGGAAACTAAGCATGTAGTGGATTGATTTAGTTCCATTCTAGATTCTTGAGTGTTTCAAAACCTTTCTTCTTCTTCTTTTAAACCTTTCAGTGCAACTATGCATGTGTTTTTTACTATTATTTAACTTCTTACAACAAGCAAGCGGGTCTAGAGATTGCCATTAGAAATGTACGTAAAACTGACATTATCTAGGGTTTTTATCTTATAACACCAGCTACCGGGAAAATAAACATGAAATCGTCAATTGATTCTCGTGTGTTAGCTACTTCTGTTGATCTTTGCTAGGAGCAAATTCTTTGATCACCAATTTTGAATGCCTTCTTTGTAGAATTTATCAGATAATAATATTGTTTGTACTTTTCAATATCATTTTTCAAAAAATAAGCCTGTTATATTTATATAGTCTTCATACACTTTTCTGTTATTTTTTTTTTGGTAAGTAGCACAATACTATAAATATTATAGTATACGGAAAAAAATAAATCAAGCGAAATAAAAAAAAAAGAGGTCATTTTGTTTTCAGGTTTTAAACCTTGGCCTAATCATTGAATTGGAAAAGATGGATGGATGTTGATCAGAACTTGAACTGCGAATTGGAGTTTGAAACATATGGATGTCTTAAATATTATACTGTTAAATTTAAAGTGTTTTGGGGTAAAATTAAAGAAGAAAAGTTCGGAAATGGAGTTGATTTTAGAGTTTTCATAAGTTAAAGATCATATATATTGCAAGAAATTTAAACGTTGTAAACAAAAATTTTTGTTTGTAAAGGGATCAAAATGTTACTTCAAAGTTGGGTTTTAATACTGGTTTTAACTAATGTATTGTTATTAACCAATGTAATCAGGAATTTCAATACTAGGAATTTGATAAATATAAACAGAAACTCTAATAAAAAAATTTTTTTAGTAAATTACAATGAATTTTATTGACATATTTTTTCACTGTATCTTTTGATAAACATTAATGAAAACATTTTGTTGATATATATATATTAAGGAAATTATAACAGGAAAAGAAAAAATAAAAAAAAACTAGAAAAATATAATGACTTGTAACTTTTATTATCAACTTTATCAATGAAATTAACTTGACAGAAAAATTTATTTATAGATATATCAATAAAAATAATCCTTTAATATATATTGATAAAATTATAGATGGTATTGTAGTGAAATTTAAAAAAAGAGATAGCATGAAAATTTTAAGGATCAATAAAATATCTTAACAAGAAAATTTTAATAGAAAAAATTGATAGGTAGGCCTACTAGGAAAGCATAAATAAACTAAAGGTACACTGACGTTTATTATGCAAAAAAGTGTATGATAGGTTTGTTTAGAAATATTTGTACATAAGAAAACCCTAGATTTATTATACATGGACAGTCATATATATGGATCACTACCCCCATGCATCATACTCTATATTGGTTAAACCTGACCCCTTCTCGTGGTACACAGGGAGGTTGGCATTTGGAAAGAAATAGAGGTGCTGGATCCATTAAAACTAATAAATATACTCAAAATAGAGGTATCACGTACGGGCTACCCCTATTTCATAATAAACCTTGTACATCTTGATGTCAATATGACCATTAATGCAGTTTCTCGACTGCGTGGAAGGGCATGGAGGTCTTGCAATGTGTGGATGGATCAAATATCACCAGATCTTATAATTTAATCCACCTCTATCTCTTGTAGGAAATCAATCAGGTCATAGAAAGATGGATAATGGCTTATAATTTTAGTAGTTTAGTTATGCGTACCAAATTAAAATGAAATCAATCAAGATTTTGAGATCACAGTTTATGGAGAGTTGTCTGCAGGGATTCCCACATTGCATTTAGGAGTAAAGAAACATCTGTGTGGCTTCCAGATGATGAAACAGACAGGCTACTTTTGAGTGTGTGCCTTGGTACAATCCTGAGCAATTTCACTAATCGGTTTTTTTGATATTTCCGGTATAATAGATAGTACTATCATACATACAATTATATTTAATTTGATGAAATTGTTTGATCTTAAAGAAAGTTCAGCATGTGAGAACGATCAATATCTTTTATTTTTCCATAATAATACATAGAAAGACCGATTTGTCCATAAATGAATAAATGGAATTTTCAAAAAAAAAAAATTCCTAGTTAAAAGTAGCAGTCACTAGTAACTTGGAATGTTTTTTTTTTTTGTAAGCACGTGATTAATACAATGGTCTTGTTTTATAAAGAATAAGAACAAAATTCCATTTTGCTTTGCTATTTTTCCGATAATCCGACTGTGTTTTTATTAGCCTTGTTTTATGTTTTTCCCTTACGCAGCATGCTCAAGACCCTTGAAAGGTATCAGAAGTGCAGCTATGGTGCAGAAGAAGTCAATAAACCAGCCAAGGAGCTCGAGGTAAGCTTAGTTGTATTCTGTTCCCTACATGTATATGACTACAGTATAATACTATTTTTAGATACCGTACATTGATATTCATTATGCTTTTCTCATAATCTAACAATTTGTAATAACATATGATCTGTTGAAACATTTTAATAACAAATGACAGTTTAACTACTTTGAACTTATGGTACATAAAAGTCACAAATTTTTTCTTTGCTATAAATACCCATCTATGCAAATTTTATGATATACGGGAAGTATTTCCTCAAATTTTGGATGATAGAGCTTTGGCCTATAACTTTTACGCAAAAACAAATTGGCGAGCCACACGCAAGATTTAGTTGAATTGTTATATTGGAAGCAAGCCAAAGAGAATGGCTGTCTGTTGCTTCAGTTTTTTCAAGGCATTGCCAAATCGCATAGGCTTGAATCTTCTTAATACAAGAAATCATGATATTAGTACTCTAATTTATCAACTATCTATTAGTCATCAATAGTTGATGATGGTTGAGGAAAAAGATTGAGTTACGGATACCTTGCTATTTTTAAGGAGATTCAAGCCTTTTGCAATTTGAAAAGGCCTTCAAAAACCTATGCAACAACTTAGTTGGGTTATTTCTCATAAAGGGGACAGATGAAAGAGACTGCTTAATCAAAATAGAAAATGATTCTGTAACATTGATGATGAATGGTGATGCTGTTTTTCGCACAATATTGGAATAGGTTAAGTATATAAAGAAATATAAATAAACGAAGAAGAATTAAGGTTAAGAGTTCACTTTGCCTTTATTACAAGCTGACTTCATGCGTGATATGGTTTTGTAACCAAGCCAGCCATCGAGCTGTCATATTTTGATCATCTATTTCATTAGAAAAACTTGAGTTATATTTTCAACTGATTCGGGTGTATGGTAGCAGAGCAGCTATAGGGAGTACTTGAAAGTGAAAGCAAGATTTGAGGCCCTGCAACGAACTCAGAGGTAACCACAATAGCAAGCATCATAGATCGTTCTATTTTTGCAAATTTTACTTTCAAGATATTTAGTTGCACCATGACATGAAGATGTTGCGATTCAAGCTGAAGTTTCTTCACGGACCGTAAAAATTTTAGTGGATGCTGCCTTGTTATCAAATATAAGCAGTTCTTATCCTTGATAAATTCTGCAGGAACCTTCTTGGAGAGGACCTCGGACCTCTGAATACTAAAGAGCTTGAGCAGCTCGAGCGTCAGTTAGAGTCGTCATTGAACCAAGTTCGGTCAACTAAGGTAATTTAATTTTTAGTGTTACTTGTTTCTTTTTAGCGTCAAGGGAACAGCGAATTTCACAATCCAAATGATTTTCTGTGTAAATTTCTTGCATTAATGTTCAATGATGTTAAAGTTACATGAACCAGAAAACAAGACAAGATTACTTGGAAGATTGACCCAAAAGGTGTTCTAGCTAACAACTAATGCTTGTGTTAAGATTTTTTTAATGCAGTTATTGAGGCCTAATAGCTTTCTTTCCCTGTTTCTTTCCTTTCATTTCATGGTTTTCCTTTACGGTCTTAAAGATAGGTGTAGATGGCGATCTTTCTTTCAACCATTTGTTTGTGCAGCCTGTTCTAGTTGTACAGCGTATTTAATGGTCCCATCTTTGTTAGGAAAGATCAACGTTGCCTTGATTATGCCATTGATGCCCTGATCTCCACCTGTTATCAGCATACATGCTGATCATTTTGCATCAAGCAATTCTACTGTAGTATATCTTACTTAAACTATGAGATTGTTTCTTGGCTTGGCTTGGCTTGCATAGGTTAAGAACCTGCTGTTCTTATCTCTTGAGAAAGCATGTGCTTTGTATATGATGCTTCTTATTGATTTTTGCTGATAAGAAATACAAGTTCTTCTAGATTGTGTTTGATAATATTATTATTCCATGCCACTTTGCAGACCCAGTATATGCTCGACCAACTTGCTGATCTTCAAAATAAGGTAAATAAAAGTGGTGGTATAATTAGAGTAACTGACTTTGTGTTGCTTCGAATGCTAACTGAAAAGTGTTTCGAGTACAGGAACATCTGTTGCTGGAAGCTAACAGAGGTTTGACAATAAAGGTAATGTGTTAACTTGCTATATCCAAATTGATTTCATACTTTATAGAAATTTGTTTTCTGCAAGATTGTCAGGAGTTATTCGTCAACATGGTTTAAAGGCCTTGCATTTTTCATGCTGATCGGGATATTTAATCTTTCATTTCTCCTTAAGAATCCATATATAGTGATCTCTAAAACCAAACTCCACACTTTTTCCGATGATTAATGGATAGCTAAGTTCAGCTAGCCATGAAAGCTTCCAATAGCTACCAGTATTTCCTTTTACAATCTAAAAATGTTAAAAAAAAAAAAAAAAACCATGTTTAGTACACTTAATACTGTCTTAATTCTTTACTTATACTGGAATCAGGAGTTTCCTGTTATGCTTTGGTCTCATTCTTTACACTTTCAGTTTTTTCTATGTACTAAAATTCTGGCTAGCACACTCCAATTGTCAAATTTAGCAACAATTCAATTCTTCAGAACATGACATTCTATATGAGCTCTTTCTAGAATTACTAATATTCTGAAATACTCACGTTTGGTAGCTAATATGATTTGCCTTCTGTTTTCGTGTTTCTAATGTTTGGCAGCTGGATGAAATCAGTGCAAGAAATAGCCTCCGACCATCATGGGAAGGTGATGATCAGCAAAATATGTCCTACGGCCACCAGCATGCTCAGTCTCAGGGGCTATTCCAGGCTTTAGAATGCAATCCCACTTTGCAAATAGGGTAAACATTCAACTTCTCAAGATCTCTCAATCACTTTGTCATTTGTTCATTATCTAATCAGTACTGAAATCAACCATTCAAGGCTAAGACAGTGTCCATAATATTGATTCGTCAATTTATCAGCTATATATATCCTAATCCTCTTTCTGTTTGTTCATATGGTGAAAACAGCTACAACCCTGTTGGTTCAGACCAGATGACTGCAACAACACATGCCACCCAGCAAGTCCATGGGTTCATTCCAGGATGGATGCTTTGAGTTTTGTGCTCTTCATTGCTCATAAGAGAACACCTACTATGTAACTTTCTCTCTTGTTGTTGGTAATGTGTAAATGATTTCAAGAGCATGTGTACTTCATTTGGAGATGAAAACTTCTGTGACTGGATTTCAGAACTTTAGCCAGGGACAAGAGGCATGTAAGAAGTTCATAATTATTGCAAGAACTTTGGAAGACTTAATTTGTTTCTCTATGATTATTAGCTTCCTTTTCGACCAGTGAAGTTACTTAGCTGCTCTCCCTGTAAGAATAGAGTGTTTAAAGCCATCTTAAGATAGCGAGAAAAAGATGTTGCAATTTTAACATCTTTTTCTTGATGATAGACCCTTATAGGGCAGCTTTGGGTTCATGAAAACCATCCTGTTATAAATATGCATGAGAAAAATCACCTTTATATTTCATAGCCAAGAAAATCTTTATGGACTATATATCCATATCCTCAGCCTAGCTAAATTAATGTTTAAACTAATTTTGAATTTTTTTATCACTATTTTCTTTATAATCAAGAGTAAATATGTACTTTTATCACTATAAGATTTTATAATTTCATTGACAGAGTTGTTTTGTTAGTCTATAATTCATAGTTTATTTGTCATTTTGTCGATATATACTGGCAGAATGATAAATAAATTTTTTTTTTATAAATAATTGTTATCTTAAATTATTGATAAAAATATTTTATTAGTAAAATCATTGATATTATATAAATTTCTTGTAGTGCATTAAAAAAACCACAACTGGAACATCACTAAAACACTCTTCTAATCCCAATCGGAAATCATATTGTTTATTCTCAATTTTTTAGTGTTGAGAAAATAAGATGATTTTTTAAGTTATTTATGGAGATGGCAGTTGAGAAGAATTGAAATAAGGTAAGGTGGTATGTGTAATATATATATAGAAAATAAAATAAATTAAATTCAGTGATAGATTTTTTTTTAATCATTTGAACTTATTTTATTTATTAATTGAAACCTATAATAAGAATTAGCTCTAATCATACTATAAGTCTACACTTTTCCTAAAAGATAAATAAAGAAACAAATAAAATAGTTTCACTTTCAATTTCGAGAATAGCTGTGAACAATTGGGCCAATGCAAAAAATTCTACACATTGAAGAGTGGGAAACGGGCCCACCAAGTTCTATGGGGCTAAAGGTCTTTGATCCTATTGGGCCTCCATTGAAATCCATATAGACAACTGTCTACATTCTATACTTTTCGAAAGTAAGTTGAACCGAACATGCCTGTCAGCAGAAGAGAGAGGAAACAGGCCTTCGAGATTTAAGACCTTGATTGGTTGAATTGTTTTAAGATATTTACAGGACTTGTAAACAGAAGGTTGGAAATTTTAACTTTTATCACGACTTATACTATATTTCTTTTCCTAAAAAGTTGTTTTATATTTTTTTTATTAAACATATTTCTAATTTAAATTTATTTTAACCCATTTTATCACAAGTTATTTATAAAAAAACAACTTTTGAACTCTAACGAAAAATTATTTAGAAGTTGTTTCCACGCCAAGGAAAAAGATTTTATTTGACATGATTTGAAATATAATTTTTGATTTTAAATCATAACCCAAAAGTTGCTTATTATAAATAATTTATGGAAAAAATGAGTTTAAATAACTTTAAATAAAAAATATAATTGGTAAAAATAAACTTAAAGCAATGTTCTTTAAGGATTGGTGTAGTATGGGTTAGAATGCTTAAATCAAAATTTAAAAATTTCAACTTTGAATAAATCAGAATTTTGACTTAATTTTCTAAGGAAGAAATAACTGAAATCAATTTATAAAATTCATACTAAATACAACTTAAGATATTAATTTTTATTTTTGTACTTATTATTATTATTATTAAGTTATGGTATGAAAATTGACACCTAAGATAACATTTAGGATTAACTAAGATAAATGATTTGCTATGATGTAGGTTAGATTATTTTTTTTCTAGTATTAAAAAGAATAATCATGCAATAGTAATGGTTTAAAAGGAGTAAAAATACATAAGAAATGGGTAGTAAAAGAAGTTGCACGTGTTGTAAAAACAATGACCTAAAAAGTAAACAAAACAAAACATCACGAAGCAAGTATCCTGTATTTACACTTATGTAATTAATTTAATTTAATTTAATTTAATTAAAAAATAAAATTCATTTTAAAAAAGCTAGATTCAAGAAAGGGAAAAAAAATCCGAGTTAACCCTTGTTACTTTTAAAACAATAAAAAATCTCATAACAAGAAAAAAATAACAAAATATTGGTGGATGAAACTGATAAAAAATAGCATAAAAAAATAGAAAAAAAACCAAACAAGACTGGTTGAATCTCATAAAATCAGGTTAATCTCTCAAATTCATAACCCATTAAATTGCAGACCTAGACTCAACTAAAAAACTCAACACCCACCCAATTAAATGTTTGAGAATAAAATCAAAAAAATTAATTTAACTAAAAAAATCATTTTAAGAAAGATAAATATAACAAAGACTAGAAGAAAAACTCAAGACAATCCTTCTTATTTTAAAAAGACATAAAAATGAATAAAAAGAGTATTAGAGGATGAAATAAAAAAATAAATAAACTTAAATAAAGAAAAAAAAAACAAGCAAGTTAACTTTTCGACACGAACTTAACCTAGAAACTCAGCACTTCAAGATTTAAATATTGAAAGATGAAATTAATTAATTTAATTTCAAGACAAAATCTCTTTCAAATGTTAAATCTAACAAAGGAAAAAAAAATTGAGGTAACCCATATTATTTTTAAAATAATTGAAAAATCCCAAAGAAAATGAATTTAAAAAACAATAAAATATTATAGGATGAAACAAAAAAAAAGATAAAAATAGGATGTCTAAGTAAACTTTGTAAACCTGGTTTAATCTCTTAAACTCACAAGCTGTAAAATTTTAGATTCAAATTCAACTAAAAGAGATAAACACCTGACCAATTAAATGTTCTAAGATGAAAAAATAAAAAAAAATTAATCTAAAAAAATCTTGCAATGTAAAAAAATAGCAACAATAAAAAAATATATTTTATTTTATAGAAAAAAGGCAAGGATGAAATTGTACTAAAGAAATTAAAAATCATCTTAAATAAAAAAAATAGATTGTATGTATTTTTTTGAAAATATATTTCTTGTTTTGGAATCAAATTATAAATCTCAAAGATCGTATGCATTATAATCTTATTGTTGCATAGAAATAATTGAGATATAATTTTAAAAGTATTTATTTAATTTGAAACTTAAGACATTTCATTCAACACAAAGATATATCTTTCGTGTGTTTTTGGTTATTAGTTGATGGTTGATAAAGTCAAGATTAAAATAGAAGTGTTAGCTAAAAGTTGGGTTATCTATGAATTTAATAATTTCAACCCTTATATTTTGAAAGCAACAATTTATGTAATCTGACCTTAAAATAATTTTGTTTTGAATTTCTTACAATTCCTAGGAGGTTTAATATGTAGGAAAAGGATAATTTGATATTTTATTTAGGCAATATTGAAATTAGTGAAGGTACATGATGAGATGATCTTTTTTTCAAAAGAAGAAGAAGCAAGAGGCTTGAGTAAAACTTAAGGTTTTGTTGAGAAAAAAATATCTTATTTATCACATTTATTTTATCAACATTAATAATAACGAGTAGTTTTATTCGCAATATCATTATTCTTGTGAAAAAAGTTCTTTCACATTTTGAGAACAACATTTATTGGTCTATGTTACTTGCTTGCACCATAAAAAAGAACATTTTGAAGGCATATAATATAAGCTATGACTCTTGACGATGAAAAAATCATTATCATTGTGTCTTTCAATCATATTTTTTTTATTTACCCCTTTTTATTTGTTTTGGTAGGGTATCTTTATTTTTTTTAATCTTGACTAATTCATTTTTATTTTTCATTGGGGGTATACCCCCCAGCATTTGGATTTCTCGGACTCTTTAGCTTTTCATAACCTCTCTTTGGTTTTAATCTTTAAAGTTTTGTTTGCCTTTTAGTGTTGAGTGTAATCTTAGTTAGTATTTTATGAAAGAAAAACTTATTCATACTCAAATAGGAACCATAAAAGGTATACTATTAGAATATGAAGGGATAATGAAGATGGCATTTCATTATTTCAAATATAAGTGGTCAAGAACAATAAGTTTTGTCCTCATCCACTGCAATGGTTTAGGATTGTATGTTTATAAATCAGTAACTAGCAAATTGAACTATATGTAAATACATATAGTTAAAATATGGCCTAAGAGACATGGGTTTTTATTTTTTTGATGTCCTAGTTCAAAATTATTTGGTTACCTCAAAATAGAAATTGTTTAAATGATTCATTTGCTACTTTACAAAAAGGTGTCTAAACATTGTTTTAAGCAAACATTGAATTATTTATGAAATAAAAAAATAAATTTAGTTTTTCAGAAATATTTTGGAAAAAGGGTTTTTTAATTTTACAAAACTGAATTAGTCATAATATTTGAATAGGTCCATGGATTTGAATAGGTCCATGGAATGAATTACGAGGGTAAAAACATTTTAAAATAGGTGAGGATCACCTTTTAATATTTTGTATAGCACATAATAGGAATCAATTATTTTTACCATTATATTTATTCATTCATGGATGACAATAAAATGCTAAGATATCTCATGATTTTAAAACAACAAATAGATAAAAGGAAATTCATATTTCATTAAAAGATATAATGAGATCCCAATACATATGGAAAACATATTAACAACAAAGCAAGAGTAGCAAAGTTTTATAGCAAAAAGATTGACAATGCAACACTCCTTCTTAAATTAGCTTTCTTAACAACACCAATGTCTTCTTAGCATTCACTAATATTTTTTCCATTCATTTGCTATGCTAGGAATGATCTAGAATGGAAAACATCAATGAAATAGTACATTCCATAACTTCTCCATGGTAATTTTTTCGATTATGAAGTTGAAAAGAATCATATTAGAAATTTATGCTCTCATTACTACAGTGTTGGTATCATAAAATGAAAGAGGGCTCATACAAGCTCCCCTCCTTATTGTTGCACTTATGTTTATTGTGTACCTTTTATGCCTTTCTTTTTTTATTATAATTTCTCATGACCCATAATTCTATGAAGTTGTGTTTCTCATCCATGTAGTTTATCTTCATACTCAATACTCATGATCTTTATCAC